CCCTGTCAACACTGGTTCTCCACTTGCGAAGTAACTCCCTTCTCTCCATGTGTCAGTATATAATGCCTGCATCTGTAGGGATCCCTCTATGCATCTGAAGAAATGAGGTTTTTACCCACGAAAGCTTATGCCCAAATAAATCTGTTAGTCTTTAAGGTGTCACCAGACTCCTTGTTGTTTTTGTAGATACAGACTAACATGGCTACCCCCTGATACTCTACGAGTTTAGTGTTCAATTCACCATTTGAGTTATTATGCATTCCTCCAGAGGAGAACCAGTTTTTTAATTTAAATAGTCTGATTCTCTATTCCAGACTGATCTTCCACATTACTTAAGAGAGAGAAATATTTTGAGGCCTAATGAGCAGCATTTAACTCTAGCTCATTCTCGGTCTCTTAGAAATAAAAAAAAGTTAAACCTTTCTATGCTCAAAATCCTAGTTGTTTATAAATTGTATTTAACATTTCATGTCTATGAAATGATAGAATGAGCTAAACTCCCACATTTGCAAATCGCATTGCAGAGTTTCTAATAATACAATTTTATTTACCTACCCTGAATAATAATGCATATTTGTTGTTTTTTTAAAAGCTAAGAAGCTTTTATATGGTGTTTTCAAAGTGCTGCTTTGGAAAGGGGCCTCCTTTGCATTATAACCTCTCCTTCAGATGATTAATTCTACTGTCCTATTGCCTCCAGATTGCCGTGGAATATGCAAGGTTTTACATATTTCCAGAAAATCAATTGGCTACTGCATACACAATATGTTTTAAATGTCACCATTTTTTTTAAAGTGAATGAACTTAATGTATGTGTAAGTGAGAAACCTGGTATAGCAGTAACTAAAATCAAGAACAACATGGGCAGATGCTGTGCAAACTTCTCCACACAGTTGTCAAAGCATCTAAAGCTTTAATTGCAATCTTCTTATTCTGGTCTTGGGTAAATCATGCCAAATAGCACTAATTTTTGTATGGCTTTCTTTGAGGATGAGGCCACCAGGCTTGCTTTCTCCTATGATCCAAGTAAAGTATCCAGAGATACCTAGCACTTTTCGTCACAATTTTGATATGCATCTACATTAGCATTTCTCATTTTGAAAATGGACACAGTACCTTATAACTAATGCAAAGTTAATTAAGTTTAGGCAATAGAATATATATTTACTATTGTGCATCTATCCAATACATTTAACTTATCATATTACACAGTAGGTTGTAATGGTTGTGAAGTAATCATTCAAGTTGATCAGCTAGAATGTCCATGTAAAACTGGCCAACATGTTAAATGAAAAAGTTGTTATAGATGTGTAAATGGCAGACAAAAGAGAATCCATATGATTATACTATAATGGAGCCTATAAAGCTTTCCATCTGTAGATCTCACAGTGCTTTCTGAAGGTGGGTGAGCCTCATTATCCTCCTCTTACAGATGAAGAAGCTGAGGTGTAGAATGGCTAAATGACCCTCACAAGGTCACCCAGTCAGCAAAGGAAAGCTAGTTTCTTGACTTGCGGACCGGTACCCTCTCCACTGGACCACGCTGCATTCATTGCCTTTTAAAATCTTGATTAGCATTTAAAGAAAATAACACATCAAAGAAACAGTATAGATAGCCGACTTCTAAATTTGTGTTCAGAGTTGTTTGCTTGCGCAAATTGGGTAGTTAGTCTGTTTTCCCAATTTGTGAGCAGATTTTTGATTAGACAAATTTAAAGGTAGTTTTTGAAAATGTGCCCTAAGTTTTTTGGTTTAAATTGCTCGAATAAAAATTGAGTCTTAAAGCAGGAATATAGTCCTGAATTGCAATGCACTATGGACAGAACTTCTGTCTTCAAGGCTGAATAAAACTGTGAGCAAGAGGGAGCAAATATACTCCTTTCTGAATTTCATTCAGCCTTGCTAATTGAAGTTCAGAAGAAGCTTTGAGACGGATACTTGCTCTTCATGATGAGTTAAACATAAACAGTTTGGGGCCATCGTCGATGTGGATTGCTCAGACTACAACTTGCCTTCATTCCAAAAGCAAGTGATTGCTAGACCTAGTTGATCATGAGGTGATGTTGAGTCATCTGTGGGAATGAATGCGATAGCTTATACTATTTATGCTCAGGCCTTATGGGTTAGGGTTACCATATTTAAAAAATAAAAAAAGAGGACACTCCACGGGGCCCTGGCCCCACCTCTTTCCTACCCCTGGGCCCGCCCTAACTCCGCCCCTTCCCCAAAGTCCCCACCCTAACTCCGCCCCCTCCCCATGAGCGCCCCGCATTCCCCCTCCTCACTCCCAGCCACG